CAGCTAACCTTGTATTGACAGAAGAAATTGCATAGTCCTTAATGTTCGTGTCACAGAATGAGGTGTGAGTATTAATGAGCTAGGTGTTCAAATAAAAAAGATTGGGATAAAATGAAAAAAAAAAAAAGCAAATAGAATAGAGGAAAGGAAAGAAAGAGGAGAGCTAAACTTAATCAAATAAGAGAACTTTGATGTAAATAATGGTGAGCTAGGTGATTCAGATAAACCAAACCATCCCACTAGTAGCAACTAAAAAAGTTGTAAAAAATAAGATTAGATGCACCAAAGAGCTAACGAGTTAATAAAGAATTATGGACCAGAAACTTTACATTAAAAGCTAAAACACACTATTGAGAGAATATAAAAAAGACCTAAATAAATGAAAGTATACATTTATGTTTATGGATTGAAGATATGGACATTATCAAAATGTTAAGTCTTTTCAAACTGATCAACAGTTTTTGATGCACTCTCAATAAAAATCCCAAAAGTTTTGTGTGTGCACAAATGGACAAAACATTTCTAAAAATAAAATACAGTGTTCAGGGAGGCTTTTATGATAAAACAATACAGAAAGGTAATGAGTTGTTTACTATAACATCCTAGATAGTGGTTATCTTTGCGGATAAAGAACATTGTTGGAAGCTGAAACAACACCTGAAACATATGCACAGACTCCAGATACTAAAATTAATGGACACAGTCTAAAAAGATGACACTTGTGTTCAAGGAAATAAAAGCTAAGGTTAACAATTTGGCAGTGTAGCAAAAACCATGAAATGTTACACCGAAAAATTGAAAAACTAGAAAACTGTAGATTTAAAATATAGTAATCAAAATTTTAAATTTAAAGAACTGGTTTAACAATAGAACTAAACAGAGAATAGGAACATTGGAATAGGGACCAAGCACTGGAGTATTTCCCAAAACAAACAACTAATTATCTGATTTTTTAGACATGAGCAGGCTGGTGTTCAACAACTCATTCAATTCTGACACCATCCAGAGTTAGTGCAGACCACACAGCTTAAGGATTCAGTCCTACAAGACTGTTTCTCACTTCAGATGATAATTGCAAATTCCAGGACACCCATACTTCTAAACAATTGGCTATAAGTTTAGGAGTCCCATGATCTGCTCCTCCCTACCCACCGTGTTTGATAATCCGCTGGAACAGCTCACAGAACTCAAAAAGGTATTTCACTTATGTTTACTAGTTTACTATAAAAGATACAATGCAGGAACATCAAATGGATCAAGGTATAGGGAGAGGGGTGTGTGGAGCTTCCGTGATCTTTCTGGGTAAGCCATTAACCCAGCTCTTCGATGTGTTCACTAACCAAATCTCATCGTTCAAAAGCCTTTAGTAGAGCTCAATCTTTAGTTACCCACCTCGCTTCCCCTCACCAGAGGTCCATAAGTGAGTCTGAAAATTCCAACCCTTTCTGGTGACCAGTGCCATCTTGAGGCTATCTCGGGGTACTACCCTAAGTCACCTCAGTGTAAACTCAGATGTAATAGATACGGGCTTGTTCTGAATGACAAACAACACTTCTAACACTCAGGACATTCCAAGCGTTTTAAAAGCACTGTGCCAGGAACTAGGGACAAAGACTAAATATGTTTCTTATTATACCATAAGCACAGAGTCAAAAGCTGGAAAACATAGGAAAAGATAAAAGACATACATGTAATGGGGAGGTATACTGGATGTTTCATTGGCATTTCAGAAAGGAGAGAGAAAATAGGAAAAAAAATATATTTTAAATAGGAAATAGAAACTTAAAATCAGAGGAAAAAGGGAGTTCTACATCCTGTTAATTGTCTGAAGAGGACAGTAAAGGAAATGATTTAGGTAGAAATGGATACTTCAAGAATGTTTTAATTTCTAGATGCATTACTCCCTTTTGCATTGCTATAAAGAAATACCTGGGACTGGGTAATTTATAAAAAAAGAAGTTTCTTTGGCTCACTGTTCTGTAGGCTGTATAAGCATGGCACCAGCACCTGCTCAGCTTATGGGGAGACCTCAGGAAGCTTACAATCATAGTGGAAAGTGAAAGGGGAGCTCGTGTGTCACATGGAAAGAGAGGATGCAAGAGAGATTCCAGGCTCCTTTAACAACCAGCTGTCACATGAACTAAGAGAGTGAGAACTCACTTATTACTGCAAGCACAGCAGTAAACCGTTCATGAGGAATCTGCCTCCATGATCTAAACACCTCCCACTAGGCCCACCTCCAACATTGGAGGCCACAATTCAACATGGGATTTGGAAAGGACAAAGCATCCAAACTACATCACTAGGCTTGCCTCTAAAAAACTTTAAAAGGTCAAAGCTAACATGTGGGAAAAATAGAATCATTTAAAAAATCAAATACCGGCTCTTACCCACTAGAATGGCTATACTTTAAAATACAGGTATTAAGTGTTTGTAAAGATGTACAGAAATGGGAACCCTCAAACACTGCTGAAAGGAATGCAATTTGGCTCAGCTACTTCGGAAAGCAGTGTTACAGTTCCATACACGGGTAAATGTAGAGTTGCTATAGGATCCAGCAATCCCTCTGTTAGGTATATACCCAAGAAGATTGAAAAAATATATGTCCACACACACAAAAAATACAAATATTCATAGCAACCTTATTCATAGTAGCCAAAAAGTGAAAATAACGCAATTCCGCTTGGGTGGATAAACAATGTGGTATGTCTATACAGTGGAATATAATTCATCCATTAAAAAATTAAGTATTCATAAATGATTCAACATAGATAAACCTTTAAAACATTATGCTGGCTGGGCACGGTGGCTCATACCTGTAATCCCAGCACTTTGGGAGGTCGAGGTGTGTGGATCATGAGGTCAGGAGTTTGAGACCAACTTGACCAACATGGTGAAACCTCGTCTCTGATAAAAATACAAAAATTAGCCGGGCATGGTGGCGTGCATGTAATCCTACCTGCTCAGGAGGCTGAGGCAGGAGAATAGCTTGAACCTGGGAGGCAGAGTTTGTAGTGACACACTGGGGGTGGCTAGGGGAGGGACAGTAGGGAGTGGGGAGGTCAGGGACGGATAACGTGGGGAGATATGCCAGATGTGGGTGACGGGGGGATGGAGGAAGCAAGCCACATTGCCATGTACATACCTATGCAACAATCCTGCGTGTTCTGTACATGTACCCCAGAACCTAAAGTGCAAAAAAAAAAAAATCCCAAAGAATCTATAAACAAAAAAACTACTTGAGTTGATAAATGAATTAAGCAAAGTTGCAGGTTACCAGATAAACATACAAAAAAAATCATTTTTATTTCTATATGCTAACAATGAATAATCTGAAAATGAAAGTTTAAAGAAATTCTGTTTACAATACCATAAAAAAGTTAAAAATAAATTTAACCGGGACAAGATTTGTATAGAGAAAACTACAAAAAACATTGCCCAAAAGAGTTAAAGATGTAAATGAATGAAAAGATATTCATGTTCATGGATATATTTATCCATCGTTAAGTAGAAAATACTCCCCAAAGAGATATACAGACATACAGATTCATAAGAATCCTTCTCAAAATCTGAATTTCATTTTTTGCACAAATGGAAAATCTGATCTTGATGTTCATGTAGAATTACAACAGATCCTGGTCAAACAATTTTGGAAAAAAAGAAGAAGTTGAAGAATTTACATTTCCCAATTTCAAAATATATTTCAATGCCACAGAAACCAAACATAATATGGTACTGGCATAAGGACAGACACATAGGGCAATAGAACAGAATTCAGAGTGCGATTATAAACTCTTACATTCATGGACAATTCATTTTTGACAGAGGTCAAAGACAATTCAATGTGGAAAAAAATTGTTTTTTCAACAAATGATGGTTGACATCATGGTGGACATGATGATGGACAACTTGATATTGACATATAAAAGAATGTAGGCTCACATCATATACAGAATACAACTCAGAATCATTCAAAGACCTAAATTTTATAGCTTGATATGCTAACAATGAATAATATGAAAATGAAAGTTTTCTTCTAAAATTTAGAAGCTATAAAAAATTTAGAAGCTACAGTTATAAAATTTTAGAAGAAAATGTAGCAATAAATCTTCATGATCTTGCTATAGATTCCTTAGATTTGATACCAAAAGCCCCAAAAGAGAAAATGATAAGTTGAGCTTCATGAAAATTTAAAACTTTCCTGCATCAAGGCATATCATCAAGAAAGGGAAAAGACAACTCACAGAATTGGAGAAAATATCTGCAACCATATATCTGATAAAATCTGGTAATCAGAGTATAAAAAGAACACTTACAAGTCAATAGCAAAAAGACAACCCAATTTAAAACTGGACAAAGGACTTGAATAGACATTTCTCCAAAGAAGATATACAAAAGACCAATAAGCACATCAAAAGACATTCAATATCACCAGTCACTGGGAATTGCAAATCAAAACCACAGTTTTATACTACCTTATACCCACTAGGATAGCTATAATATTAATTTTAAAAAGAAAAATAGCAAATGTTAGCAAGAATGTGGAGAAACTGGAATCCTCATACATTGCTACTGATAATGTGAAATGATACAGTTGCTGTCGAAAGGAGATTAGGAGTTTTTCAATATATTAAACATAGAATTATCATATTATCCAGGAATTTCAGATAATTGAAAACAGATGTTTGAACAAAAACTTGTACATGAATATGCATAGCAGCATTATCATAATAGCCAAAAAATTAAGGCAACCCAAATTTCCATCAACTGATGAATGGATACATAAATTGTGGTTATGCAGAGAAGTAAAAGCAAAGGTTGTCAGATTTATTTTTTAAAGCACTTATCAACCAGAGCTGGTGGATTTTGTGGATTTTAATTGGACTTTGTGAGCATCCTGGATTGTATCGATGAGCATTGAATTACTGTAAGAATGTATACAGGTTTTCGCTATGATCTGCAGAGTTTGAGTTGCTACACCAGTAACATTCTAGTATCAAGGAGAATTCCATTCATCATGACAGTCACATTTTACTTATCTCAATGGAATGCTTGCTGCAGGCTTATAAATAACCCCTAGAACTGAAGTCTGAGTGGTTTTAATGCTTTTTCTGAAAGGAATAAAATTGGAATGTTTCTTTAAATGTGGACAAATTCTTCAGTATCCTAATAATATACCCAAATGCTTTTTCTGGGAGAGAGCATTTGGGTATTTTATTAGGATACTGAAGAGAAGGAGTTTTGCTCTTGTTACCCAGGCTGGAGTGCAATGGTGGGATCTCGGCTCACCGCAACCTCCGCCTCCTGGGCTCAGGCAATTCTTCTGCCTCAGCCTCCTGAGTAGCTGGGATTACAGGCACGCACCACCATGCCCAGCTAATTTTTTGTATTTTTAGTAGAGACGGGGTTTTACCATGTTGACCAGGATGGTCTCGATCTCTTGACCTCGTGATCCACCCGCCTCGGCCTCCGTGCTGGGATTACAGGCTTGAGCCACCGCGCCCGGCCCGAGAGAGCATTCTTTTACAAAATAATTTTCCCTACAAAAGCAACACAGTATAATGTGAACTGGCATGAAAATCTTTGAATGCTTTTGCACTATTAAGCTCATGGAGAAATATTTTATATTCTTTTTACTATGTACGTATTAATAAAAAGTGGGCAAAATTTGCAAAATTTAGTTTCTCTTAATGTTTGCACAGTGGCTGCAGCTGGCTATGGGTCAGGGCCTTAGTACATCAAAGCCCTAACTGGAAGGCACTATAGGAAGGGTGTACATAGTCTCCCAGTCTACATATCCTGGCTGTTAATCTTCTTGGCCCCTTAAGGTACATCGAATTATGAAGAACCTGTTTCTTTAGGTTGAAATAGACTTTGCTTATTTATTGGGATTCTTAACAAAATTCTTAGTTGGCAACATGAGAGGAAATATTTCCTCCCCCTTTCCCTCATTTTATATTGACTGTTTGCCAGAAAGTATTTTCTTGTTTCCTTTCTTTTTTTTTTTTTTGGAATGGAGTCTTGCTCTGTCTCCCAGATTGGAGTGCAGTGATATGATCTCGGCTCACTGCACCTCTGCCTCCCGGTTCAAGTGATTCTCCAGCCTCAGCTTCCTGAGTAGCTGGGACTACAGGCACCCACACCAAGTCTGGCTAATTTTTGTAATTTTAGTACAGACTGGGTTTCACCATGTTCACCCGCCTATTCTCAAACTTTTGACCTCAGGTGATCTGCCTGCCTCACCCTCCCAAAGTGCTGGGATTACAGGTGTGAGCCACTGCACCTAACCTGTTTTCTTGTATTCTTGCCAGTATAGTATACGGTTTTTCTACCCAAATTCCATACTGGCTTTTGCACCACATCTCTAAAGGCCCAAATCATTGAAGATGGAAAATTGTACATGCTGGCTGATTGTCTAGTTAGCTAACACATGGCTGATTAGCTTAAACTGACTAATATGTATGTGCAGCCTGAAACTAGATCCTTAAAAGGAAAGCCAGGTCAGTCATCTTGAAAAAATAACGTGTAGAGGTAAATAGATGATAATTGTTTTGAGAGATAGTATGCATTTTAAAGGGTGGCTTTAAGCTTCAGTAACATTGTCATTTCATGACCTTTGTTGTCACAGCTGTACCTAACCTGACAGGAATTACTACTGTCTTTTTTTGTGTGTGGGGGGCAGAAAGCAAAACCTGATGTTGTGACTCTTAGCTTAATAATTCTTAAGCGAGGTTAGTAATAAGACACACAAACCCAGATGCATGCATTGTGCATTATTTTGTACACAAGTTACCTTTCTTCTGTCCCCTTAACAAATTTGCAGCAATTACCCTGCCTTTCTTTGGGATCTAGGGTGAAAGCTAATTTGTGAGTAGATGAGATTGCAGAAGAATGGATGTCCATGGCTGTGAACACTGCACGTGCATTTCCAATGCTCAGACTTGTGAAGTTACCACGCCCTTGCTGCATGCCATGCTGTTGGGTTGCAGACTTGCATGCATAAATTCCTCAGGAAGAGTTTGCATGTGCATCACCTCGCGATATTCTGTATTGGGTGAACAAGGGATTTGAATGTTTTTCAGCACAAAAAGATAACTTCTGAGTGGTGGTCTGTAAGCGTACTAGCAAAGGTAATGGTGATCTAGCAAACAAAATTGGTTTCTGCAGTTGTAAGTGAGCAGGAGCTCTTGTATTATGGTATTTAAATAATCCTGGTTAATCTCCTTTTAAGCAGAGTAACCCTTCCAGATTTTGTCTTTTTATTATTGAGGCTGACTGTATTTTCTTCTACTTTTTCCCCGTTTTATAGCAGTTGATTATTTCTCTGATTATTATGAAAGAGGCATTGTCCTTGAGTTAAAAGTCTGTTTTATAAGCAACTAGTAAAATAACTGAGCATTGTTTTATGAACATACACTAATCTGAGATACTGAAAAGCTTTGCAACTAAAAAGCAAAACAAAAACCGTACATTCATTATCTAGCCATTGTTTGGATGTTTTGAGTTGATTTTTTTTTTTTTTTTAATTGAGACAGGGTTTCACCATCTTGGCCAGGCTGGTCTTGTACTCCTGACCTCGAGATCCACCCGCCTCAGCCTCCCAAAGTGTTAGGACTGCAGGTGTGAGCCACCGCACCTGGCCGAGTTGATTTTTTTATGGTGCCTCTTTTACTTTGGAGTATTATGTTTATTTTAATCCAAGTCTAGGCCTTTTAAGGTCTTCTTAAAATTCAAGGTCGGAATGTGAATCCCTTTGACTGACACCTCTTACAGGTTTATAGGACCTTTTTGGTTGTGATTATTGTTTTCAACATGATTATATAAATAAAGTTAACTTTTGTCAGAAGTTAAAATGGAGTTCATAGGAGTTCATGGAGAAATGGCTCTCCTATTTCTTTCATTACTCCCACTGAAATTCACCTCAGTTTCTGGCCACAAAAATATATGAAAGGAACCTGTTGTTTTCCAAGGGAAATAATTCCTCTCTGTCCCTACTGATGATTAACTAAAGTCCCGGACGCCTTTCCTCCTCCACTGGCCAAGACCCACCTTGAACCTCTTTTCAGAGCTGAGTGGCATGAATACGTGTACTGTTTCTGCTTCTGTTGTTGGAGTGGCTATGGGAGAATTAAGGGAAATGCTAATTTGAGCTTCATTCTTAGGGAAACCTAATATATACTGCATTCCTGCCGGTTGGAAATTATCTTCATCTCTGGCTGGACTGCATTGTTTAGAAAAATGTTAATGGCTTACAATTCTGAGAAATTTATAGTGTGGCTCTGGGATTAAGAATTCTGTGGTTTGAAAAAAATATATACTTTGTATTGATTCTCACATGTCAATAAATAAATAAATATATACATAAATAAATTGTGGTAGATTCAAATCATGGTATTTCCATACAATAGAATATTATTCAACCATAAAAATAATGAAGTACTGAATGAAGTACTGATACATGTTATAATTACTTGATCAACCTTGAAAACATTGTATTATGTGAAAAAAAATGAGACCCAAAGGTCATATATTACATAATTCCATCTATGTGAAATGCCCAAAATAGGCAGATCCATAGAAACAAAACATAGAACAGTGGTTGTCAGAGGTTAGAAGTAGAAAGAGAATGAACAGTGACTGCTGAATAGGTATGGGAGTTCTTTTTGGGTTAATGCAAATGAGATGGGATTACACAGTGGTGATGGTTGCACAATATTGTGAATGTTTTATAAGTTATTTAATTTACACTTTGAAATGGTTAAAGTGCCGAACTTTTTTAATGTGAATTTTACCTCAATTAAAAAATTCAAAAAATAGTGATAACATCAAATGCTAGCAAAGATCTAGAAAATCTGAATTATTCATACATTACTGGTGAAAGTATAAAATGGTACAACTGTTCTAGAAAAACAGTTTTGCAACTTCTCAAAACAGTAAGCCTGCAACCATCATTCAACCAGCAATTGTGCTCCTGGGCATTTATTCTAGAAAAAGAAAAAACATATTTGCATAAAACCTGTACACAAATATTTATAGCAGCTTTATAGTAATAGCCAACAACTGGAAAAAACTCAGATGTCTTTGAACTGGTAAATTGTTGAACAAACTACTACATCCGTGCCATAGACTACTTCTCAGCAATAAAATGGAATCAGCTATTGATACATGCGACATCTCTGGATAAATTATTCTCCGGATGAATCTCCAGAAAAATATGCTTAGTGAAAAAAGCCAGTGCCAAAATATTAGGTACTGTATTATTCCATATACAAAACATTCTTGAAATTATAGAAATGGAGAAAAAGTTATAAAAGTGTAGAGCAAGTTGGTGTTTGCTAGGAATTAATGAGAGGTGGTGGTGAGAGGGATATGGGGCTGGCTATATAAAGGCAACATGAGGAATTTTGGAGTGATGTAAATAGTCAATATCCTTTATCTTAACTGTATCAATGCCATAGTTGTGATATTGTGATATAGTTTTGCAAGATGTGTTCATTGGGAGGAAGTTGGGAAAAAGGTACATGGGCTTTCTCTCTATTTTTTTTTTTTACAACTCCATGCAATTTAAAACTGTCTTCAGATAACAAACTTTAAAATTTTAATAATATATTTTATTTTATCCACTATAACAAAAATATTTTCATTTCATCAAATAATATACAAAGTTATTTTTATGTTTTATTTTGCTTTTAATTAATGCATAATAATTGCACATATTTGTGGGGTACAGTGTGATGTTTCCATATATCTATATTTGTGTGTGTGTGTGTGTGTGTGTGTCTGTATACATAGTGTAATGATCCTATACATAGATATAGTATATATAGAGTAATGATCAAACCAGGGTAAACAGCATATTCATCACTTCAAACACTTGTCATTTCTTCATGGTGAGAATATTCAAAATCCTCTCTTCTAGCTATTTTGAAGTATACAATAGATTTTTGTTGACTGTATTCACCCCACTATACAACAGAACACCAGAACTTTTTCCTCCCCTCTAACGTACCATGGTACACAGTGACCAATCTCTCCTAATCCTCTCTCTTCCTTACTCTTCCCAGTCTCTGGTAACCACTATT